TGAGCATAGCCCTCCACAATACAGCTCATCTCATACACACATATCTTTATACACTGATTCTTGCTACAACCAAAATCTGTGCACTGAAAAGGCAGATGCTACAGAAGGAATCCATTCCTGTAGTACAATAAATATATTTGGATGTACAGTAACTGAAAATAGGTCTTGCATTTTAGTAAGCTCTGCAATACATGTACCGTAATTTGGTGCAGAAAAAAACAAACCAAATATTACTAACAAAAATTGCATTGAAAAACCTGATTAACATCAGATTGGAGGTTTACTGTGTTCGCTGTATTGTCTACTCTCGTGAAAATCTTAGCTTAGATCATTCTGACCCAACTTGGTCAGCTTCAATTTCTATTTCATATGAAATACAAGAACATAGGTGAATAAGCTCTATTGTTTAAATTGCCCAAAATTATTCAGAGGTATAGATCTAGTTTAGACACAGCTTTGTGTGAAGGTATAACCTTAAACCAGGCTGAGGGGTAGAATACTTGATATATCCCTGATCTTAGTACCCCTGCAGTAGTTGGCAACACTGTCCTTACTTTTTAACACTTTCACACTTTGATGATGAATGAGTTGTCAATATTCCGACAGTAAACGTTCCCACATCATCATCTGATACACATTGCATCATCTGATTACTACTGTATTCATAAACATTTATATATTCATTGCTGTTACTCATAATTTATTATAAATACGTTTTGTTTGTGCATCTGTTCTATAGAGAATTTGTTTGTGAACATTTTCACACCAAATTTACAGTTACAACCCAACAAATAACCGAGAAAAAAGTAAAATCACATTACATTCGAGAACGTACAAAGGACCAAAATCTATTATAAATGCACTTTATTTTTACATATATTCTGTAGATAATTCATTTACAAACTTTTTGTCATTTGCAAATTTTGACACCAAATTTGTTCTAACCCAACAAATAACTTGGAAAGCTTACAATGATTGAAAATATTTTTCACATTGTTGAACGGCACGTGAGCCACCTGGGAAGTTCAGAACACTTACAGTCGGGAACACGCATAGAGGCTGGACCCCCAAAGTGTTAAAAGTAATAACAATGCTGTTCACCTGTCTAAACCTGTTAAAATGATATGATGTGATATCGAGTTAAAAATAACTCCCGTTGGCCACCGTATAAATTATACTAAAATAACTATATAGAGGAGCCCAGGTTAATCCAGATGTAAACTGCTCTACAAAAGAAAATCTTTGCTTAAATTACAGGGGGTCATGTTTCACTTAACAGACAGTTCCAACTCTTTAGTCAGGAAATTGTAGATCCATCTGCCCATTTTTCCGGTAATTCCTTTGAATGCATTTATGTGCAATAACACTATGGTCACATTTGTCAAAAGCATTTGAAAAATCTGTGTAAATTACATCAGCGTTTTGTCTGTCTTTCATGGCATCTAATGCCATGTCATAGTGGTCCAGCAACTGTGATAGGCAAGAGCGTCCTGTTCTGAAACTATGTTGTCCGGGGTTATGGAGATGCTATGATTCCATGTGTTTTGTGATCTTACTTCTTAGCACTCAAATTTTGTTGTGTGTGATGTAAGTGCTATCAGTCTGTAATTTTTTTCCTCTGCCTTATTTCTTCCTTTATGGAGTGGTGCTATCTCTGCTGTTTTTAGTATGTCAGGGATAACGCCAGAATCTAGGCTTTGTCTCTAAAGAATGTGCAGGACCTGTGATATTGTTTTTTTTTTTTTTACAGTTTTTGATGAACAGAGTTCCAGGAATAAGGGCCTGGTGCAGAGTGCATAGGCATACTGTCTATGACTTCTTCAAAATCCAGTGGGGATCAGGTGACATCTGATGTTGGTATCATATCCATGAAAAATTCATTTACAATTATCAATCTTCAGTGTGCTTAGCGGCTTGCTGAAAACAGAGTCGTACTGATTCCTCAGTATTTCGCTCATTTCTTTGTTGTCATCAGTGAACGTTCCATCTCCCTTTCGCAGGGGCCCGATACTAGATGTTTTTCAGCTTGATTTTGCATAGGATAAAAAATATTTCAGATTCCTCTCTATTTCACTGATGGCCTTTTTTTTTTTTGTCTCTCCTGGGTTTTGTATGATTTACGCTGGATTTGATATTTACCAGGAAAGAGGAAGAGATATTTGACATTCAGTACCTTCCTCTCTTGGGTAAAAGTGACCATGTCTTTTGGGAATAAAGTATGCAATGCATTATAATCTGGAAGAAAATAAGGAGGTTGAAACAGTTGAAAAACCTGATTTCAAGAGAGGACATTATGGCGACCTTAGACATTTCTTTAAGGAATTTGACTGGAAAGACTTGCTGTTAGGACATGAAGTAAATGAGATGTATGTCAAGTTTTGTGAAATATATGATAAAGGGACAACAAAATTTATACCAAAGCAGAGAAGCAGAACTAGGAAACAGGAATAGTTCAACAAAAGTTGAGAGGGCCAGAGACCAAGACACAAAAATGGAATGAATATAGGAAAAGGACAAACCCCCAAACTCACCAGCGATACAAAGATGCGAGAAACAATTACACGGAAGTGAGGAGAGAGGCAGAAAGAAATTTGAAAAAGGGATAGCGGACAAATGTAAAACAGAACCAGGTCTATTCTATAAATTCATAAACAACAATTGTAGGGAAAGGATAAGAGAGGTTGAAAATGGGAAACAGATTCAAATAAAATGAAATGTGTGAAACATTAAGCAAAAAGTTCCAAAGTGTTTGTACAAAATGAAATCTTCAGGGAACCAGACAATAAGAATTTTAGAGAACAACAGAGGACATAGAGGTGTCTAGAGACGAAGTGGAAAAAATGCTCAAGGAGCTAAGTAAGAACAAAGCAGTTGGTCCAGATGGAGTTTCACCATGGGTTCTGAGAGAATGTGCACCTGAGCTCAGCATTCCACTTCAACTGATCTTTCAGGCATCCCTGTGTACAGGAATCATAGCTGATGTGTGGAAAAAGACTAACATAGTTCCAATGTACAAAAGTAGCATCAGGGAAGACCCCCCTCAATTATAGACCTGAATCATTGACAAGTGTAATAGTCAAAATATTGGAAAAAATAATTAAAAATAAATGGGTAGAACACCTGGAGAAAAACTATTTAATATCAGACAGACAGTATGATTTTCTTCCTGGAAGATCTTGTGTAACAAATTTACTCATTTTCTATGATCGAGCCACAGAGATTTTACAGGAAAGAGATGGTTGGGTTGACAGCATCTATCTGGACCTACAAAAGGCTTTTGACAGTTCCACATAAAAGGTTGTTCTGGAAACTGGAACATATTGGAGAGGTGACAGGTAAGCTTCTAACATGAATGAAAAATTTTCTGATAGAAAAATAAGGGCAGTAATCAGAGGCAATGTATCGGACTGGAGAAATGTCACAAGTAGAGTACCACAGGGGTTCAGTTCTTGCAATGATAATGTTCATTGTCTACATATACAATCTACCAGACAGAATACAGAATCAGATGAACATGTTTGCTGATGATGCTAAGATAATAGAGAAGATAAGAAACTTGGATGATTGTCATGCCCTTCAAGAAGACCTGGATAAAATAAGTATATGGAGCACCACTTGGCAAATGGAATTTAATGTGAATAAATGCCATGTTATGGAATGTGGAATAGGAGAACAGAGACCCCACACAACCTATAAATTATGTGAGAAATCTCTAAAGAATTCTGACAATGAAAGGGATCTAGGAATGGTTCTAGATAGAAAACTGTCACCTGAGAACCACATTAAGAACACTGTGCGAGGAGTCCATGCTTCACTCTCTAACTTCAGGATTGGTTTTAAATACATGGATGGAGAAATACTAAAGTAATTGTTCACGACTTTTGTTAAGACCAGAGCTGGAATATGCAGCAGTTGTATGGTGCCCATATCTTTAGAAGCACATCAAACTGGAAAAGGTGCAAAGACATGCCACTAAGTGGCTCCCAGAACAGAAGGGCAAGAGCTACGAGGAGAGGTTATGCATTAAATATGCAAAAACTAGAAGATTGAAGAAAAAAAAGAGGCGATATGATCACTACGTACAAAATAGTAACAGGAATCTATAAAATTGATAGGGAAGAATTCCTGAGACCGGGAACTTCAAGAACGAGAGATCATAGATACTAAAGAAACAAAGCTGCCGGAGAAATATGAGAAAATTCACTTTTGTAAACAGAGTGTGGACGGTTGGAACAAGTTAAGTGAGAAGGTGGTGGAGGCCAAAACTGTCAATAATTTCACAGTGTTATATGACAAAGAGTGCTGGGAAGACGGGACACCACGAGTGTAGCTCTCATCCTGTAACTACGCTTAAGTAATTACACTCTACAAAACTAAGAGATATTGCACTTTACTCATGAAGGCAATACTGAACAAGGCAATGATGCCAGTCCTTGAAGGAAATGTATTTGGTATTTGTGGCACAACATGAGCCATAATGTACTTTAGTGTGCAGTGTTAAGAGTTATTCTTTATGACAGCCTTCGTAGTTTATCCTCTTACACTACACGAACAACAACATTTACTTGGCACGGCAGTTTAAGCAGTCTTCTACACGCCTCAAAAGTTTAAATACTGTACACATTTTGAGAAGCAATATCTCTTTGATATCTTAATGAGATTATCCCTCACATAACTCCAGTATTCATTAACTGCACTTCGTACCATAACATCCTTCAATTATTAGATTTTACAATAATTATCCAAATTGTTGATGAAGCTACATATTGTACTTCATTACTGTATATAAAAGTCCCTGAGAATATGTGAGGATTACAGTAACAATTTAAGTGAAGCATATTATATGCCATTACAGGTGTTCGTATTTTAATTTCACCACAGCCGAAGAAGAATACTGTACGGTGTATTTGATCATAAAACTCGTCACAAATATCATACAGTATTCTAACCAAATATCATTAGTTTGCTTGAAATAGGCAACCAATTAAGAAAAACGTGGATACAGTATAAAAATATATTAAACAACACCCATTCATAATGTCTCGAGTGAAAGCACACCATATTTCACATGATTATTTTGGGCTCCAAGACAGAGGCTCCTATACTCTTGTGGGGCAGCACCATCCCGCCATTGACGTACAGCTCGTCCTTGACAATCACATCCTCTCCCAATACCGATACATTTTCCATTCGTACCTGACCAGATAAAAAATACAATTCTTCTTTGTTATGTAGTTAAGGCTACTGACATCAGCGTGATTATGCAGGCAGAAATAAACAGCCCTAACTCAACAAGGGTCACAAGAGAAAATACTGTATATCAAGCATTACAAACAACGAGCACTGAATGTAATGAAACGCCATTTTCTGGACGAGTCCCGGAGGCTCCCTGGAGATATCGGACTAATATACGCAATATTAATCTGGGGCATCAGTCAACTGGAGTTCAACCTACCAGGGACCACGAGCCAGAATCTGGCATCCGCCTCAGAGAGGCACAGGGAACAATGGCCTATGGAAACCCCCATGTGTTTGGGAGCATTATGTCTGCCATCAACTGGGGTTAGGCACCCAGAAACATAGGCATAACGAAACAGACCCTATTTGATAAGAAAATTGCAACCGAAGACCAAACAGAGAAGCACAACTCCCCCAAACCTAAAAAAGGGGCTGAAAGGGCCACCATAAATTAAGGAGAAGAGAGAAGAGAGCACCCAGTCCAAGGACCAGGATGGCTCAGGCGGCGCATGAGCAGGCTGGAGGTAAAACAAAGCACAAGAAAGTTTGCAAAATGGGACCAAAGTGACATGCACCCCAGACACAAGCTGAAACAGTTCTGCCAGCGCCGCACGATAAGGTGACAGTATTGGTCTTCAAATGATGGTGCTGAAAAAGGGAAAAAAGAAAGAAAGGACAATACAACCTGATCGGAAATAGACGACAACCTATGAAGAGAGAGAAAATGGCAAAAAGAACGCCAGGAAACTTCATATCGTCGCCGAGATGAAGCTCGCAGGTGGGACACCATCAAATAATCAACCTGACCACCAAACAAGTAGTGATAAACCCTCGTCAAAAATACCAGACAATTAAAGTGGAGGAGTAGACCAAACAAGCCAGGTACCGAACCGGTATGATCTGCTGAAAGAGGTGGAGCCGTGGAAAATGCACCTGGTTCCTGGTTCGGACACCGAGCAAGCTGTGCCTGAAGCCAAGGTGCTCCGTCTTGGTTCCGTTTCGGTCACCAAGGGGCCAGAAGGACAACTCTCCTGCAGGAAGATTCCAAACGAGCCAGAACCCGAAGCAACAACTGGACCTGCAACAGCCGGGGAAGAGGTACAGGTAACCACATCTTGACCAGTCCTGCTGAAAGGCATCGACCACAATGGCTCTGCAGTCAGGGAAGCGTGCCACATATATCGGGAGACGCAGAAACCACGCCGATGCGAAGTGGTCTACCTAAGGGTGCTTAGGGAAGGCAGCCCTAAGCACATGCAGCCCCAGTACTCTAATTTCATCTGGTCACCATACCACTAAGGCACAAATACTGCCAAGAAATCAAGGCCAGAGTCGACGACCGCTTCAGAGTGCATCAGCCTATGAGCTGAAGGTGCGGGGAAGTGCTTGGCTCCCCCCAACCCCTCCCTCTCCCGAGAATGGATGTGGAGACAAGTGGCGCGGCGGCGGTGTATGACGTTTGCTTGTTTTTTTGGGGGTTTGGGGGGAGTTCTGGCTCTCTGCTCTGTCTTCGGTTGCAATTTTCTTACCAAGTGGGGCCTGTTTTGTCATGCCAACCTTTCTGGGTGCTTAACCCTGGTTGTTGGCAGACGTGGAATGCTCCCAAACACAAGGGGGAAGGTTTCCATAGGTCACTGCTCCCTGTGCCTCTCTGAGGGGGACAGATTCTGGCTCGGGGTCCCAGGTAGGCTGAACTCCAATTGACTGATGCCCCCAGACTAATATAGCATATATCAGTCCGATAGCTCCAGGGAACCGGAGGAGCTCCCCACAGAAAAACCTAAAGGCGCTGGTGGCTGAGTGGACAGCACGCTGGATACATAGTCCTGTGGACCGGGGTTTGATTCCCGGCACCGGCAGAAACAGAGGGGCAGAGTTTCTTTCACTCTGATGCCCCTGTTACCTAGCAGTAAATAGGTACCTGGGAGTTAGACAGCTGTTCTGGGCCACTTCCTGGGGAAGGGTGTGGATGTGTGGGGCAAAAAAAAAAAAAAGTTAGTAGTTAGTAATAGTTGATTGACAGTTGAGAGGCAGGCTGAAAGAGAAGACCTCAACCCCCCGCAAGCACAACTAGGTGAATACAGAAAAACTTACTACATGAAAATAAAGAGGCTGTGTGTATCTGGATAATTTTGGAAGCAATGATTTACTGTACTTTTAGAGAATGGAAGCTACAGAAACAATTAAAAAATATATATAATATTTTATACCAAACAGAAGGATAGCCATCACAAATGTGTACATGGTCAACTTGACAGACATGCTGTCACCCTGACCACCTTGACTGACCCTCGGTCACCTCAATCAACAGGCCAACATGCACACAAGGTCATCTCACCAGATAGGCTGACATGCACATGTGGTCACCTCAACCAACAGGCCAACCTGCACATGCAGTCACCTCACCAAACAGAATGACATGCACATGTGGTCATCTCAACCAACAACAGGCTGACATGCACACTGTCGCTTTAACCAAGAGGCCGACACACGCTGTCACCTTGATCGACATGTACACACATGCTCACCTCAACAAATAGGCCGACACACACACATATACAATCATCTCATCTGACAGGCTGACACATGTATGGTCACCTCAACCAAATGGCCAACATGCACATGGTCACCTCGACCAACAGGCCAGCTTATACATGCGGTCACCTCAACCAACAGGGTGACTCGCACATGCAGTCACCTCAAGCAATAAGGATCACATGCACATGCAGTCAGCTCCAGTGACAGGTCCACATGCACATGCAGTCAGTTATATTGACAGGCCCACATGCACATGCAGTCGGCTTGACTGATAGTCAACACAGGTGTTATGGCTGCCATTAAGTACAAATAACTTTATATCAAATAACAGATACTACTACACCTTCCTCACTTTACCCTGGCTTCTCAGAAAAAAATTAAAGACAAATTTAAGAAAAACTAAATTAATGAGGTTTCTCAGGAGCTGAAGTAAGAGAGTTGTGTTAAATTATGTTCACACACCATGGGGCCTAAATTCAACTTTAGTGTAATGACTATAACACTTTCATGTTCTAATGACAAAATGCATCAACCAGTTGCTATTCATTAACATTTGCATTATCACTACTGCCATCTATAATCTACAACATAAACTTTTGGTTTTGCACCCATTCTCTAGATAATTCATTTATGGACATTTTGACAACAAAGTTGACACCTATATTGCAACAAATAACTTAGGAAACATAAAACGATTTTAAGCATTCTTCACATCGCTAAGTGGCCTGGGAAGCCCTAAAGTCAGAAACGAACACAGGCTGGACTGCCAAAGTGTTAACACTTTGGCAGTCCGGCCTTTGCTCGTGCATAGTTAAGCATATACCTATGACTTTGGTGATGTTATTCCTGGCCATGGTGGGATGATGGACCGCTTTGACTGCCAGTATTTGATGGCCACATTTGTGAATGTATACATTATGACCTTCATCTCTGAGACATCTCCTCACAAACTTCTCCAAAAGGTTCACACGCTGAAGCCAGAGCAACAGCTACAGCTTTACAATATGCTCCAAGACTCTCTTATTGTACGTGGAATATTACAACCTTGAGTTATCTAATAAAGATGTTGGTGTTAAATTTTGTGAATGAAGACCTATGCTGATATACAGTATATGAATAATTTCAACTAGCAAACTACTGTACATTCACTTCAACATCAGGTTCACCTTAACCCTTAAATGGCTCCAATCGCTACTCCATTACCTAGTGCTTGAATCGTCAATTGTAAATTTTTTTAAATTACTTTTGCAAACTTATTTTGTCATGTGAGCTACAATGTAGGACTCTTAAGTGGCAAGGTCATTTTAGGGCTAAGGATATCCACTAGCATAAGACATTCACAACTTTTACCCTGTTCCTTTCAAACACCACAAGAAGCCAAACAATAAAACACACAAGACAACATACCCACTGGCCAACGATGCACTTCCAGCCTATGATACAGTTCTCCAGCCAGGTGTGAGATTTGATGGTTGCTCCTCGGAGAATGGTGCACCGCTTGATGCACACCCCGTCTTCTATTTCCACATTGGGTCCAATGGTGACATTAGGCCCAATTCGGCAGTTCTTTCCAATTTTGGCTGACGAGTCTACCAAGACGTTGCCTACAACGCCTTTTACAAAAAAAAGGTAGAGTGAAAATTTTTATATAGTGCCCCTCCCAGACAGACATACAAAGACAGACAAAATACTTAAAAATATATATATACAGTGTGTATATGTATGTATGTATGTATGTATGTAATTACCTAAGTGTAGTTACAGGATGAGAGCTACGCTCGTGGTGTCCCGTCTTCCCAGCACTCTTTGTCATATAACGCTTTGAAACTACTGACGGTCTTGGCCTCCACTACCTTCTCACCTAACTTGTTCCAACCGTCTACCACTCTGTTTGCGAAAGTGAATTTTCTTATATTTCTACGGCATCTGTGTTTAGCTAGTTTAAATATATGACCTTTGTTCTTAAAGTTCCAGGTCTCAGGAAATCTTCCCTATCGATTTTATCAATTCCTGTTACTATTTTGTATGTAGTGATCATATCACCTTTTTCTTCTGTCTTCTAGTTTTGGCATATTTAATGCCTCTAACCTCTCCTCGTAGCTCTTGCCCTTCAGTTCTGGGAGCCACTTAGTAGCATGTCTTTGCACCTTTTCCAGTTTGTTGATGTGCTTCTTTAGATATGGGCATCAAACAACCGCTGCATATTCTAGCTTTGGCCTAACAAAAGTCGTGAACAATTTCTTTAGTATATCGCCATCCATGTATTTAAAAGCAATTCTGAAGTTAGAAAGCGTGGCATAGGTTCCTCGCACAACGTTCTTTATGTGGTCCTCAGGTGATAGTTTTCTATCTAGAACCACCCCTAGATCTCTTTCTTTATCATAATTCTTTAAAGATTTCTCACATAATATATAGGTTGTGTGGGGTCTATGGTCTCCAATTCCACATTCCATAACATGGCATTTATTAACATTAAATTCCATTTGCCAAGTGGTGCTCCATATACTTACTTTGTCCAGGTCATCTTGAAGGGCATGACAATCATCTAAGTTTCTTATCCTTCCTATTATCTTAGCATCATCAGCAAACATGTTCATATAATTTTGTATACCAACTGGTAGATCATTTATGTAGACAAACATCACTGGTGCAAGAACTGAACCCTGTGGTACCCAACTTGTGACATTTCTCCAGTTCGATACATTGCCTCTGATTACTGCCCTCATTTTTCTATCAGTCAGGAAATTTTTCATCCATGTTAGAAGCTTATCTGTCACCCTCCAATATTTTCCAGTTTCCAGAACAACCTCTTATGTGGAACTCTGTCGAAAGCCTTTTTTAGATCCAGACAGATGCAGTCAATCAAACCATCTCTTTCCTGTAAAATCTCTGTGGCTCAATCATAGAAACTGAGTAAATTCGATACACAGGATCTTCCAGATCGAAAACCATACTGTCTGTCTGTCTGATTGATATAATATCATTTCTCTCCAGGTGTTCTACCCATTTAGTTTTGATTAGTTTTTCCAATACTTTCATTATTGCACTAGTCAATGATACAGGTCTATAATTGAGGGGGTCTTCCCTGCTTCCATTTTTGTAGATTGGAACTATGCTAGCCTGTTTCCACACATCTGCTGCGACTCCTGTACAAAGGGATGCCTGAAAGATCAGGTGAAGTGGAATGCTGAGCTCAGATGCACATTCTCTCAGAACCCATGGTGAAACTCCATCTGGGCCAACTGCTTTGTTCTTACTGAGCTCCTTTAGCATATTTTCCACTTCATCTCTAGACACCTCTATCCGCTCTATGTTGTTCTCTGGAATTTTTATCGTATCTGGTTCTCTGAAGATTTCATTTTGTACAAAAACACTTTGGAACTTTTTGTATAATGTTTCACACATTTCCTTCTCATTTTCCGTGAATCTGTTTCCCATTTTCAACCTTGGATATTATCCTTTACCTGTAATTTGTTGTTTATGAATTTATAGAATAAGCCCGGTTCTGTTTTACATTTATCCGCTATACCTTTTTCAAAATTTCTTTCTGCCTCTCTCCTTATTGCCATATAGATGTTTCTTGCATCTTGGTATCCCTGGTATGTTTGGGGGTTTGGCCTCTTCATATACTGATTCCATTTTTGTGTCTTTTTTTCTCTGGCCTTCTCGCAATTTCTGTTGAACCAATCTTGTTTTCTGGCCCTGCATCTGTTTTGATATGAATGTTTGTGTGCCTTCATCATATATTTTGCAAAATTTGGCATACATTTCATTTACTTCCCTTCCTAGCAACAAGTTTGTCCAATTACACTCGTTAAAAAAATTTTGAAGTTCCCCATAGTGACCTCTCCTTAAATTGAGTTTATCATCTGTTTCAATGTCCCCATTTTCTTTGTGTAATTACCTAAATGTAATTACAGGATGAGAGCTACATTTGTGGTATCCTGCCTACCCAGCACTCTTTGTCCTATAACACTTTGAAACTTTGAAGCTACTGACGGTTTTGGCCTCCACCACCTTCTCACTTAACTTGTTCCAACTGTCTACCACTCTGTTTGCAAAAGTGAATTTTCTTATATTTCTTCAGCATCTTTGTTTAGTTAGTTTATATCTATGACCTCTTGTTCTTGTACCCGGCATGTAACCAATTTTGTAACCCTTTTTGTGCAATGAAATTTTAAATAGAGTTATATATATATATATATACACACACTAAAAGAATAGGGGTGGTAGGAGAAGACAATATCAAAGTGTTCAGTGAGGATCCACCTAATCACCATACAGATGGTGATAGACTTCATTCAAAAAGACCAAACACAAAGCCTCGAGGAGAAAATCAAACCAGTCTGGTAACAGACCAGACCGATCTGCTGAAAAAGGCGGAGCTGCGGGAAAACCGCCATTTGGACACCAAGCAACAACCTCTGAAACCAATCCTGGGCCGGCCACCATGGGGCCATGAGGACTACTTGTCCCTGGAAAGTCTCCAAGCAAGCAAGGGCCTGGAGCAATAGCTGGAGGAAAAGGTACAGGAACCCCCACCTCGACTAGTCCAGCCAAACGGCATCGACCCCTTGGTTGGTTGCTTGGTATGCTTGACCATATCAAGCAACCATAGGTAAAAACAGTCTTGTCTACTTTTCTGCTTCGTTTCCCGGTGAGGGTAATTTTAACAATTACCCACTTGCTGTATCTGTGCTGGGGGAACCAGGTTCAGGCTCTAGGTCCCTGGTAGGCCAACAGGATGCCAAAGACTCATGTGACTGTGTATGGGGAAAGCTATCTCCAAATAACCTCAGGGAGCCACTAAGAAGGCTCCACCCCCAGAAATCCAAAGGATTATTTTAAATTTATGAGGCATTAAAATACTGTACTATATAGTTAGACCATATTTCTTGGGTTTTAGAGCTAACAGTGGAGCAAATAGAAGAGTTTTACACGATCATTATTTGATCATTTGTCTTTAAATACACCTTTAAAAGCCTGAAGAACAGCATTACAAACAATATATTTTAGGGATACACAGAAGCTGTGATTATGTACATAGTTAACTCAAAACTAAAAAGCATTATACAGTAACAAAATATTACCTGGTCCTTTATAAAGCTTGGCGCTATTAGTAATCCTACAGGAGTTAAGGAAGAGACACATTCCTGTCAAGAAATCCTTGGGCTGTCCTATGTCCATCCAAAACCCATGGAGTTCTTGAGCATACAACTGTCCATCCCCGGCCATATACGGGAACACTTCCTTCTCGATGCTCATGGGACGACACTGAAAACGACAACTTCATCGGTATTGTACTTCTTGAACAATAGTATTGACAAAAATACTACAGTACACATATCCTAATTCTATAACATTTTGGTTTTCAATTTGACTCATAGTTTACCCACCGAACCTGGTGAGTAAACTACTACTGCTGTATATATACACTATATTGATTTATTTGATACCTTTAATTTAATTATTACTTTTATTGAAATTCTTCTCATGGCACACAGACTAATGTATATCATTCAGCAGGGTATAATCGCCCGTCCCAAGCTTTACATTGGCCTATACCTAGGGGGTCATATTCTTCTATCATTACAGTACTTTGCAACATTTCTAAACTAATTCATTCATTACATCCCCAACCCCACCCACCCACACCCCCATCCAACTTGCCCCTACACACAACCACCACCACCACCTTAACACCATTAGTAACTTAATATCATCTTAATTTAACCACCTTAACTTAATGACCTTTCGTGTAGCAAAGTTTTATGTCTTGAGGGTTTAGTGAAAGACTTGTGCAAGGACAAGAATCAATTGGAAACAAAGTGGGTTTCCATAGGTCACTGCTCCCTGTGCCTCTCTGAGGGGGACAGATTCTGGCTCATGGTCCCAGGTAGGCTCAACTCCATTGACTGATGCCCCCAGACTAATATAACACATCAGTCCGATAGCTCCAGGGAGCCAGAGGGGCTCCCCACAGAAAATACATGGAAATTCTGTTCTGCATACAGAGCAATACATGGGTGAAATAAATTAAATGAGGGTGGCATGTGCCAGCTTCAAAAATATTTAGTGATGACCAAAAAAACCTACAAGACAGTCTTAGCTCTCATCCTATAATGACACTTAGGAATCTAGAACTCCATATATACTGTACCTCTATCCTTTTCAGAACTGATGGGTTGAAGATGTACATTCCTGCATTGATTTTGTTTGATACAAATTCCTGAGGTTTCTCCACAAAGCGATCAATTTTGCCGGCTTCATCATAGATGACCACACCATACTTGGAGGGCTCCTCTACCTTTGTCACCTGTTATCAAACACAAGTTAAATTATTTAAGGACAAATTTTTCTACACTTAAAAAAAAGAAGTGTTGAATGTAATGAAATGCCATTTTCTGGGTGAGCCCCAGAGGCTCCCTGGAGCTAGTGGGCTAATATGCAATTCATTAGACCAGGGCATTAGTCAAAGGAGTTCAGCCTACCAAGGACCACGAACCAGAACCTGGGCCCCATCAAAAAGGTACAGGGAGCAATGGCCTATGGAAACCCACCTTGTACTTGGGGGTATTCCATGTCTGCCATCGACCAGGGTTAGGCACCCAGAAAGGTAGGCATAACAAAACAGATCCCACACGTTAAGAAAATTGCAACCGAAAGTCGAACATAGAGGCAGAACTCCCTCAAATCCCAAGGAAACAAGCAAACCAGCAAACTTAACACTACGGCGTCGCAGCGCTCTTCCGCACATCCTCTCCCCCGCCCCCAACCTACTGCATCAGCTACCCAACCTCAATTCGAAGGGAGCATCCAGGGAGTTCCCTGGCTCCTGTGCCAGGGAGCCTCCAGGGCTCACCCAAAAAGTAACGTTTCATTACAGTCAATGCTAGTTTTCTGTGGGGAGCCCCTCCAGCTCCAGGGAGCTACATAACCAAAGGAAAAGAATGACATACCCAGAAGGTGGCTACCATGTGTCTGTCAACTCAAAGTCGAGACAACTGGCTACAACCAGTAACCCAAAGTCACACATGGATGCCTAGGACCAAGCATGTTGACCAAATAATGGACAGCCAGGACCCTGTTCAACCTCCAAAATCCCAGTGCCCCAATATCAGCCCAAGACATGTTTCCAAAGAAGGCAGCCAAAGCAGCAAACTTCCAAACATCATAGGCCCAGGATAGACTACAGGCAGGCTAGACTTAATAATCCTGCGGACGACTTGAGAGACCCGAGCCCTGGAAAAGGGAACGAGGGAAACCGGATCAACCCACAGTGCATCCCCGGCCACAGAAGTCAAGGAGCACAGATAATGGCGATGAGCTGCAACCGGACAACACATGATGCACTCCCGGCCTAATTAACTACGCATCAATGACCCAAAGACCCCTCTGGAAAGCAGCCATCTTGTTCTTCGCCAGAAAAGAAGGAGAAGGCTGCAACCGTACAAACTGATGATGATGCCAACAGAAAGAGAGCCTTGGAAAAACAATCTTGAACTGAAGGGGTCACCATGAATTAAGGAAGATAGAGATAGAGCACCCTGTCCAAGGACCAGGATGGCTCAGTTGGAGCATGAGCAGGCCGGAGGTGAAACAAAGCACAAGAAAGTTTATGCAATGGGGCAGAAGTGACATCTACATCAAATGCAAGTTGGAGTGACTCCGCCAGTGCTGCACGAAACAATGTGACAGTATTCGGCATCAAATGATGGTCCTGAAAGTCAGGAAAGAAAGAACCAGACAACCTGATCAGAAATAGAAGACAACCTACAAAGAGAGAGAAAATGGTGGAAAGAATGCTAAGAAACTTCATACTGTTGCCGAGACAAAGTTCTCAGGCGGGACACCAACAATGAAGCCACCTGATCACAATAGAGATGGCAATAAACCCACATAAAAAAGACCAGACGTGAAGAGCATAGGAGAAGACCGAACCAGCCATGTACCGAACTGGTTCAATCTGCTGGAAGAGGCGAGCCGCGGAAAATGCCCCGGGGTTCAGACACCGAGCAAGCAGTGTCAGAGGAGGAGGAGCCCTCCCCCCCTCCCCAATCTCACCACAGACCGGAGGACACGACCCAAACTGCCCATGAATCATCCAGAAGAGTCAAGTTCGGGGTGCACAGGAGGTAACCACCAAGGAACCAACCCCTGAACCTCCAAAGGGGAACCCAAGAGGAAGAAAAACCTCCGGAACGAAACCGAAGAGCCCAAAGAAACCCAGAAAAGAACCTGGGAGGTGACCAAACTACCACATTTGCCGGCGGAAATGCACCACAGAAAGAAGGGTCAAACAAGACCCAGATAGAACCCCTGGCCAAAACAGCCAGAAACGGACCAAAAACCGAGGATCAAAAGCTGTAGGAGCAGGTAGAGCAAACATGCACAGACACTGGGCCCAAAACCCAGGGGCCAGAACCCAAACGCAGACAGAAAAACACAAAATCAAGCGAAAAAACAACACCCAAATGTTCCCAGTGAAACAAAGGGAAAAATGCCCCAAAGTAAATAACAAAACAGAGACACAGCTCTAATAAATGGAATGCACTAGGAAGTGATGTGGTGGAGGCTGACACCATACACAGTTTCAAATGTAGATATGATAGAGCCCAGTAGGCTCAGGAATCTGTACACCAGTTGATTGACAGTTGAGAGGCGGGACCAAAGAGCCAGAGCTCAACCCCTGCAAGCACAATTAGGCAAGTACAGCAACGGGAGGCGAAAAAACACCCCCAAAACGCAAGCGCACACTCCCAGGCACTTGTAAACAAACAAACCGCAGTGCCGTCTTGGCAGCCAGGCAGGGAAGCACTTGCACGACAGAAAAAATGAAAAGGAGAAGCTTCTGACGCTAGATAGCCGAAATCATGCTGGCAAATGTGTGAAACAAAGCAGAAGGGACAAACCCCTCCCTCCCCACCCAGAAGGCACAAAACCCAAGAAGGGGCAAACAGCCCCAGAACTGCTAATGGGTTCCCACCTCCCCCCACAGTCCCGGGAACTCCCCAACAGAGGCCCCGGGGCAAAGCCATCCTCCATGCCCCTTACCCCTGAAGAAAAGGCAGCAAAGAAGTGGGGTCTGCTGGTAGGGCACAAAAGCCTCATCAGGAGCAGCAGGCTTGAATGCTTCCGTCCCCAGCCCAAATGGGGCGGCCCCTGAAGCCACCCGAGTCTCGTCACCAATTAAAATCCCCGCCATGACCCCAAAACCTGCAGACATTTCGGAGCAGGAAACAAGAAGGTGGGGGGGGGGGAACAGGACGAACAATGCCTAACCAAAACGGGGCAGCCTCGGGGCATCCAAGTGGGCAACCAACATAGCGCTTTGCAGAAACCTAAACCTAGCATGCAACATGGATGCTGCCTGTACCCGAATATCAAAGTCATAAGAATGAGTAAGTGGAGAACAAGCAGAGAACACAACTTTCAAGCCTTCAGGTCAAAGGTGTCATTGACCCAACAGACAGCATGATGGAGGCAAAAGCAGTGACTGTCACCCTGAGACAAGGGCACATAGCAACCTTCAAACTTGCGTGAGGCGAAGTGGAACTCTGAAGATGCATCCATCGGTCCAGTGAGCCCCAAATGAGGATTTCCAGGGGGCCCGCAGGCAAACTGATATGGGAAGCCCAGGCAAGGTACAGTACTGCAAAACCAGCTAGGCCCAAACTAACAAGGGAAACTGGTAAAGCTGAACCCCTGCGACGTATACAATCATGGGGGCTTAGAGGAGGGCCACCAAAACAACAGAAGTGTATCAAGAACCAAACAAGGCAAACCCCCCTCCAGGCAAGTAAACAAAAAGCAAAAAAAAAAAAAAGGACAACATCCCTAGAAGGAACAAAAGCCGGCCGATGCATAGGTAGGCAAGCTGTGCAGCACCTTGAGCCCCAAGTAGCAAATGATACCATGTCCTACCCAAGGCCAAACAAGGGCCACAAAACCCCTGCTGGCCTTAAGGGTGAGGTAAATGCCAAGCAGCAAAAACCCCTATGGAAATGGCGTCCCAAACAAACCAGGGAAGATAAGCCTAACACACAAGGGTAGTACTCACAGGGCACTTAGGGAGGGCTGCCATAAGTACATGCAGCCCCAGTACACTTCAGTTACATCTGGCCACCACACCACGAACAGCAGCAGACACCACAAAGGTAAAACACTGCCAGGAAACTGAGGCCAGAGTTGATGACTGCTCTGGATTGCAATAACCAATGAACTGAGGTTGGGTACCTGGCACAGTGGGATTGGGGGGAAGGGGGGGGGGCTTCACGGAAGAGCAGTGCAGTGGCATGGTGTGAAGTTTGCTTGTTTGCTTGGAAATTAAGGGGGGTTCTGCCTCTGTTCGGTTTTTGGTTGCAATTTTCTAACCATGTGAGGTCTGTTTTGTTTTGCCTACCATTCTGGGCGCTAACCCTGGTCAATGGCAGATATAGAATGACCCCCCCCCCTTGCCCAAGTACAAGGGGGTTTCCATAGGTCATTGCTCCCTTTGCCTCTCTGAGGGAGGCCAGGTTCTGGCTCGTGGTCCCCAGTAGGCAGAACTTCTTTGACTAATGTCCTGGTCTAATGAACTGCATATTAGCCTGATAGCTCTAGGGGGGCTCACCACAGAAAATATAACTACAAATCACAATAAATATTGAAATTAGCAGAAACTGGACAAGAAATTGTCACAAGACCATTTATTAGGGCCAAATCCCCTAAAAACCTCCTCATAAGATTAATGGTTGGTATTGTATGCATTTTGACAATGATTTAACATTATATAAAATATGATACCCAATTTTATAAGAAAGCACATATTTAGCAAGAAATGCATATACAGTACTGTAATATAAATGCTAGCTAATACATACTGGGCTATGCCAACCCACCCAAGCAAAAAGTGGAAGCAGCCCGTCACAGAACTCGAATGAATGTACAGAACAGTGTACTGTACATTCATCACCTGGACCAAAGAGCCAGAGCTCAACTCCCACAAGCACAACTAGGCGAGTACCAACTAGTCCTGCAACACAGACCACTTATTATCACCAGTATTAATTAATTATTAATTGCCGAGCGAAAGTGTTAACACTTTCGTTCGGCAACAACTCGGCATCGAGTCCCCCATTTACTAGAGGAATGTCCGGCGAGGACTCGGCATTGAGTCCTCAGTGCGGCAAAAGTAGCAGCGTTTTCGGGAAGGTTTTGCCATGGTTTTGGACATTATATGCATATACCCCTGTAGGGAATTTCGTGGTGAATACAATAATACTAAAATGAAAGACCTAGGACCAGAATTGAGGTAACAAAGTTGAAAACAGTATA